ATTTGAAAAGAAAAAAAAGAAACTTTTGAGGGAAACATTCAGATATTTCAGAAAAATGTCTTTAAAAATTTCCCCCTAAATACTGTTGTGTTGCTGCAGCTCGCGACCACGGCGTCCCCGGCTACAACAACTACCGCGAGCTGTGCAACATGACTCGCGCCGCGCGCTTCGAGGACCTGCTGGACGTGATGGAGGGCGAGCAGGTGGAGGCCATGCGGCGCCTGTACGCTAGCCCGGACGACATCGACCTGTTCCCCGGCGGCATGAGCGAGCGCCCGCTGCCCGGCGGCGTCATCGGCCCCACCCTGGCGTGCATCGTGGGCGGCCAGTTCGGCAGGCTGCGGCGCTGCGACCGCTTCTGGTACGAGACGGGCGACCCCCTGCTGCGCTTCACCGAGGGCCAGCTGACGGAGCTGCGCCAGACGTCGCTCGCGAGGATCGTCTGCAACAACCTGGACCGGGTGGACAAGATCCAGCGCAACGTGCTGGACATCCCGGACCCGTTCCTGTGAGTGTCTGCCCGCCTGCCATAGGCACGCTCTCGGCGCTCTGACTTATTCCTGTTCCCCTGTTCTCTCGATGCATAGCAACCCACGCGTGTCGTGCGCCGATATCCCGATAGTCGACCTGACCGAGTGGAAGGAGCGCCCCAAGTGCTCCGTCGGCCGGCAGGAGATCCCCGTCGGTGACTCGGCCAAGATCTCGCCATGCGTCGAGTGCTCCTGCACCAGGGAGGGCGTAAGTATCCCCATAGGAAAACTGGGTAATGTGGAATAAGGCATTCCGGTAAAGCTGAAATGCAGAAGAATGCGGGGAAGAAGGAAACGGAAATCGCTATACTTTAGCAAGGTGACTTCCGTTTTCTTGTTCCTCGCATTCTTCTGCATTTCAGCTTTACCGGAATTCTTTATTGCAAATCGCGTGACAGAAATGGTCGGGCCGCAGGCCCGACCATCGCCGCCGGCAGGCCAAGTAGGCCCGGCCCCTGCTGAACGGAGTTGCCGGCGCAGCGAAGCGGAGCTGGCAACTTTGTTTGGCGGAAGGGCGGGCCTGCTTGTTCGAAAACAGAAGGGCGGGCTTAAAATTGAATTATTTCCAGAAAAAAAAATAAAGAAATGAAACGCAAAAAATAAAAAAAAATAACGAATTGGAAACAAAAAAATTTGAAATGTTTCCAAAATTAAAAATGTTACACTGGAAAGGCAAGTGTGTGAATTTTGCACACTTGTAGGAGTGTGAATAACCATTAGTACACTTGGAGGCATAAACGTGTGAATTTTCTAGGAAAAATTCACATCTTTATCCATCTAAGTGTGCGAATGGTTATTCACACTCGTACAGGTGAGCGACATTCGCACACTTGCGTAGCCTCACGAGTGTAAATGCCTGCAGCCCGTGTGCCAGTCGCTGCGCGTGACCAACTGCGTGTCGCTGGTCGAGCGGGCCGACCTGCGCGCCGTGCTGCGGGACGACGTCTGCCGTGTCCAGTGCGCCTTCCTGCTGCGGCCGGACGTCCTGGGGCCGCTCGGCCAGCCGCTCGGCGCGGACGACGCCCTGCAGAGCCTCAGCTAGTTGTGTGTTAACGCGCTGGTCGTTGTTGTACCTGAATACATAATGCGGGCTTGTGCCACCGTTACTCCTGTGTGTGTGTGTGTGTGTGTGTGTGTGTGCGTGCGTGATAATATGTGCGTGTGACAACTTTTCTTGTGTTTTTATGTACATATATAAGTTTTACGTGGTTATTTCATCGAATCAAAAGATCTGAAAAATTATTTCTTTTTCCTATGTGAGAAGAAAAGGATCTATTTTTTTTATGGATTTTCTGTATCTAAACTAGGTACTACCTAAAAGTTTTCAGGTGCATTGAGTTACCATACTTGAGAGACGTAAGAATGTGTGGGTTATTTCAAAAAAAGAATAACATGGTGATCTTTAACTCTCTTCAGTGTTCCATATGTAATCGCTCTCTGTGGAGAGCTAACAATTGTGTACCATAATACTTATAAAATGCATTGTGATTCGACCTTATGTCCTGAAATTTTAAGTGCCATTCTCTGCCACGGCTCACAATATATTGTCTGTTGGGTGCTAGTGGAACACATTTTATAAATGTTGTATCATCTTCGCCACCTTTTTCCTAATAATAAGTAATAATTTCTAAAGTAATGAGTTGCCCATCTGTTGATTGAAGGGAACGTGACTGAGACGTGTCGATTTCATTAGATGAACTGTATTATTGTAAAGACGAAAAAAAAACAAAAAACAACAAACTTGGAGTTGAAAGTCCCTAATTTCCCCAAGCCCTCGTGGAGTTCGGATGTGCACGTTGTGGACGAAAATGAGCGAAAAAAATGTACTATTGATGGTCTTAATATGTCATCTGAATCCCTCACATCATTTGAATTTTTGTTTTCTGCCGGCATTAATTCAATCTGAGACTCACTTTGGTTAATTTTGTCACCTTTCTTCACATCCATTTCCACCTGAGGTGGAGAGTAGCGCCCAGAAGAGAGCATTGACAGGCCTTGCTCACTACCATTTTGTAATGTATTTGTCTTATGTTTTATCAATGAAAAACTCTGGTCTGATGCTGGTACATTTTCTTGGGCTCTCAAAATATTCTCAGAGCGTGGGTAGGAATACCTGGTTCGTTCTGGCAAAGTAAACTGTGTCCGAGGCCTTGCTGGGAAGCGTGAAGATAATCTTGAAGATGATAATCTTGACGAAGTTAATCTTAAAGAAGTAGATGTTGGAAACCCATGCCCATGAGTAGTTGAAGAAGGAGAGGAAAAACTTCGTGAGTGAAGAAAGGCAGTTGTAATAGGTTGGGACGAGCTCAAAAACAGCCTATCAGAACTGGAGTTGATT